AGCAGCGCCCGGCGCACCAGCAGGCCCCGCCACCAGGCCTGGATCCTCCTGGCCGCTCTGGATCTTCCTCGCTAGGCAGAGACCAAAGACACCTCAGGAAGCCCCTGCCACCAACTCCCGGGACTTGCTGCAAGGGTCTCTCTCTCTCTCTCTCTCTCTCATATATATTTTTTTTATTTCAGAGAGGAAGAGAGAGGGAGAAAGAGATAGAAACATCAATGATGAGAATCATTGATCAGCTGCCTTCTATATGCCCCCCACTGGGGATCGAGCCTGCAACTGGCCATGTGCCCTGATCGGGAATTGAACCAGGACCTCCTGGTTCACAGGCCGATGCTCAACCCCTGAGCCCCGCTGGCCGGGCTGGCCGTTCACTCTTCACGTCACAGTCAGACCCACAGCCCAGGCTGAGCAGGGCATGGAGGGGAGGAGCCAGCTCCTGAGATCAGAGGCGAGCGCTCCGGGCTTTTCTGAATCACAGGAGATTTACGCACCGGGCGTGGGGGCGGTGGCTCCTCTTCTGGTAACATCACATAACAAATCTCTTCCTCGTTCTTGATCTTAATTAAAATCGGATGGCCGTCTTTCTGACCTCAAAATTAAGCGGGAGACATGCACGGATGAGTTAGACGCGGCTTCTCTCTACGGCCTCCCGCTGCCTCAACATCCCCTCTTTTCCCAAGATCTCTGAAGTCCAGGGTGGTTCCCGCCCACCCCGGGCCAGCCGAGGAGGAGACCTGGCTGTGTCTCTTACACAAAACTGAACCCCCATCGCGGTCTTTAGATGGTTCGCTGTCCTTGACGTCTCTGCCCCCCTAGCCTGGCGGGAGTCCTACGAGGGAGAGAGCGATGAGCTCACAATTGCATTATGACACGAGGATTAGGACACCTGCCCTCCTGTCGTGTCTTCCTCAGAAGCAAGCCCTGCCTGCTTCCCTCGCGACAGAGCTGTCCCAGGGCTCCGCGGGCAGGTGGCGCCCGCGAGTGCCCCCCACACCGGGGCTCCCCTCCAGGCAGGCCCACGAATGTCCTTCTCGTGACCGACTGCTGGCGGGGACGTGGGCGGCACCCGCTTCCCACCGGGTGCCGGGTCCTTCCGCCGCCTGGAGAGGAGGATTGATGTTTTCATTTGCGTGGAGTCACACCTCTGGGCCTCGGAAGCCCCGTTCATCGCGGAAGGGCAGCCGGGCTTTCAGTAGAGCCGGACGCAAAGCCAGTGTCCAGTGTCCGTTCCAGGCTGCAGCGGGTCCAGTTCAGCAGCAGGCCAGGTCCAGCCCATTGGCCCAGTGTGTGGGGTCCACGTGGTCCAAGGCCGGGAAGCAGGAACGAGGGAGCCCGGCCAGCCGGGAGTCCAGCGCCACACACCGAGGGGGCCCAGAACACAAGCGAAGCCAAGAGCGTGGTTTCTTTGTCAAGTATCCCGAGTTCCCGGGCGCTCGAAACGGCCACGCCCATTCTGGCCAGTGACCTGTTCCCGGGTGTGACTGACAGCCAAGTACCTTCCCCACATCACCCCGACTTTACTGGGCACGGGGCTCGTCTCCTCCCTGTCCAGCCCTCCCCGCAGGGATCTGGGATCTGCGGGAATAGACCGGTGGCTCCCCGGGGAGTGGAGAGCTGCCCAAATGACAAGCCTTTGACAGTCGGCCTTCCCGGGCTCCTTTCCTGTCATTCATCACTAGGCTAATGACCATGGTATCAGCCCCCGGGGGAGCAGGAGGGACCACGGCAGTTATCTCCAGACAGTTCTAGTGTCTTCTCAGACTTAGCATGTCCTGTCTGCCCCTGATTCGGGTTCCAGCGCCCCAGTACCCCATAGGAAGCAGAGACCAGACGAATCTAGAAAACAGTAAACCAAAGAAGGCTATTGAAATTCCACCCAGAATAAGGCACCACACCCAGGTAGACTCCTACCCAAAGGGTTAAAAACTTACCCATTTAGATATTTCCAATGTGACAAACTATTCAACGCTATTATTAAAGCCTAGAGGCCCAGGGCATGGATTCGTGCACCGGTGGGGTTCCTTGGCCCGGGTGTGTCCGAGGGAGGTTGGCCAGCCGGGGAGGGACTGCGGGAGGGCTCCAGGGCATGTCCGGCTGTTTCACCCAGTCCCAATCGGCCGGACCCCAGCAGCAAGCTAACCTACCGGTCAGAGTGTCTGCCCCCTGGTAGTCAGTGGGCATCATAGTGACCGGTCAACCTGTCAAACGATTGGACACTTGGCATATTAGGCTTTTATATATAGAAATAGACATTCCTGCCCGTCCGCTGTGGCTCAGTGGTTGAACATCAACCTATGAACTAGGAGGTCAGGGTTGGTTCCCAGTCAGGGCACATGCCTGGGTTATGGGCTTCATTCCCCAGTAGGGGGCATGCAGGAGGCAGTGGATCAATGGTCCTCTCTCTCATTGATGTTTCTCTCTCTCTCTTTCTGAAATCAATAAAAAAGTATTTTTAAAAGATGGACATTTCCGTCAAGGCTTCCACCGTGTCAGTGCGAGTCTCGCCAGGATCTTGACTAAGTGCATTGATCTATTGGCGAAAGGCGACCATCATGATGCTGAGTCCCTTCCAAGAAAATGGACTATGCACATAAAACTTTTCACCGACACATAAAACTGTGGACAGAAGGGGCCACATGCTGACCTGACCAGCTCAGGGAAGGCCTGCATGGCCGTCTTGCAAACTCTAAGAACTGAAGTCACCACAAAGGATGGTCTGAAATTAAACTTTAACCAAAAGCAGTGATGGTGGGTAGTCATGTCCCAGGCCGGTATCTTCCCTGACAAGGTCAATCTTTACCGTAACTGAGCCTGTCTGTCTTTTTGCATCTCCGGTAACATACCCTTGAAATGTCAGGGTAACTTGTAACTTCCCTTTTTTTCTGGAGCCCTCAGGGCACAACCAAATGTCCTGGGCACCAGGACAGAGACCACAAAGTCCTTCATTGTTATTGGCATCATGTTAATTGTTGACAGTTAACTATCCTGCACCCACCGAAGTAAAAGAAGTGTGTGTCTATCATTTTACTTTTTATCCAATCCCAGCGGTCCCCCCCCCCCCCCCCCCCCCCCCCACTTTCCTCCCCCACACACACACTCACTTTGCTTTCTCCCGCCTCCCTAACCTATCACCAATGGAGCTCATGTAACCGGCCTACGGCTCCTCCTTTGATTCTAATGCATAAAAATGGGTGAAAACCCGCCATTCTCTGGAGCACTAGCCCAGCCCCCGTTGCGGTTCTGCTTCCTGGCAATTGTCAACAGTTTGGCTCAAATAAACTCACAAAAATTCTTTACAGGTTTGAATGTTTTGACGTTAACAAAACTTACCCTTTAAACTTGTGCAATTCAGTAATTTTTAGCATATTTACAAGGTTGGGCAATTATCACCGCTATTTGTTGTTGTTAGTATTACCACTGTCCCCCCCCCCCTTTTTGTTCCCCTCCACTCAACCCCTGCCCCACGCCAGGCCGTCCCCAGACTATTTTCCGTGTCCACGGGTTGTGCACGTATACGTATGTGATCTTTGGTTAATCTCGTCCCGTCCCCTACACCCCCTCTTCCCCCGCCCCCTGAGATCTGTCCGTCTGCTCCCTGCATCCAGGCCTCTGGACCTGTTTTGCTCATCAGTTTATTGTGTTCATTGCATTCCACATGTAGTGGGACCATGTGATCGTGGTCTTTCTCTGACTGGCTTATTTCGCTGGCACCCCAGTTCCCATGTCCACCCATGCAGTCGCCAAGGGTAAGACAGAGACGCGGGGACACGGAGTTGGAGCAGACCTGGTCAGTGCTTTATTGGGAAGGGGATGCATTCCGTAATCCGACAAATCTGTGACCCCAGAAAGATCTCAAGTTCAAGTTCCAGCTGGTTTGCTGTGAGTTCGTACCTGCCCTGGAAGAAGCCGGTGGTGGGGCAGTTGTGGTAGCGCCAGTACAGCTGGATGATGCGGGTGGCCTGCAGCAGGCGGAGGTAACGGAGGCGGACGCGCCACATGCGGAACCAGGACTGCAGCCTGACCGCCGCCCACTTCTGCCGAGTGTAGGCCTCCAGCTGCCTCTTCTGCTTCAACAATGGCAGCTCCCGCAGCACCTGCCTCCACCAGCGCTGGATGATGGAGGCGCAGAGCGCGGCGTGCAGCAGCGTCCGGCGCACCAGGGTGCCCCGCCACCAGGCCTGGATCTGCGTGGCTTGCTGCTCTTCATCGAGGGGCTTCTTTACCTGTAGGGAGGGGTAGACAGGAAAAGGAAGGGATACTCGGGACCCGGTCCCCACCCACCTCAGCCCCAGGAGGTGCCAGGAAGGGGTCCTGGTCCTTTCTCAGCCACAGCCCCTGCCTCAGTAGTTCAGGGGTGTGGAGAGCGGCCACAGTGTTTGGACAGGTTCAAGCCTCGGACTAATGAGAGGGCACAGTCCTCTCATTGCCACGTGCAAGTCCCAGCTTGGAGGGCAGAGCCCTCCCAGCACAATTATAGCCAACAGCTATGGTTGTGAGCTTGAACCTGTGGTCCAAACATGTGGCCCCACGTGCCTGAGTGATGTGGGCTTGATAGAGTTCAGGTGCATGTAGTTGAGTAGATTAGAATGTTGTAAACATTTTGACCACACCCTTACTTTACCTCGTGGAATCTGGCTTTAAATAAAGACTTGGCTTGTGGGCGCCGTTGCTGTCTCTCCATCAGAGAAGCAGCGTCCTGCTGAGACCCAGCTTTCTTGGCCGTGCTGGCGCAGCACAAGTGGCGCCCAACATGGGGCTGAGTATGCCATGGCCGTGTCGGCTCGCTACGCAGGGGCACCGGTCCCCACCTGTCCATGGGGCTCACCTGCCCTGGTCGTCACCGGGTGCATAGAAAGAGAGCACCATGGTCTCTGGGTCAAAGGGCCAGCGTGTCCCACCTGGGCTTGACCTCCTACCTGAGTGCAGGTGGCTTCCCTTCAGGCCCCGGCCACAGGCTGCAGACATGGCGCCCTTGGCTGGCCTCCCAAGCCCGGTTCCAGCTCCCTCCCCAACCTCCTGTCTCCCTCCATCAAGTCCCAGGGGCCTCCCTGCTCCACACAGTTTGGAGTCTCCCTGGCTTCTTGCTCACGTGCATTCTTTTGGTTCTCACACCTTAAGCGAGCACACATGGGCGCATGCGCCTGCCCACGCTCCCACACGATTTGGGACTTGGGTTCCCCTTTACTTGGCAGTGCCTTCCCCTAACACAGCCCTCACCACCCACTCATGGCCAGGGTTTCTCCTCCCTACAAGCGACTCTCCAGGTCTCACCCCACCTTTCTCATCCCCGGAGGCGCCAGGAGAAGGGCGGAGCCAGGGACGAGTCCCTCCCTGTCCACTCCAGCTCTGGGTAGGGCAACCCCGCATCTGGGGGGCCCGGGGCCTTCTCGGTTTGTGATGGTTGTTCCCGAGGCATCACTCAGCTCTGTCTACCCCTCACAAATGCATCCTGGTTGGATGGCAAGTGCCCTGAGCACCCCATGCTGTGGGCCTCAGAGAAGACGTCCCCTCACGGCTGGGCGACGTGGGTGAGACAGGGTGCAGGCTGGGGTCAGTGTCACCCTCAACGGTGAGGTCCCCACAGGACTACCTTTCGTGCACTGGGTGGGGTCAGAGGGTCTTTTTCCTTCATCTCTTTATTTTTTTCACTCCTTTGCTGGTATTTTTCAAGGTACCCCTGTACCTCTGTGTCTATGTTTTCTCCCTTGAACTAGAGTCAGAGGATAAATGTGTGGGTAGGTGGGTCCTTGACCACCACGTACCCCACCTCCTGCCTGGCCGAGGGACCTCGATGCAGGATGGCATCCTGGGGCCCCTTGAAACCCACCTTCCCCGGCGGGCACCGAGGAGACCGGCTGTTCTGACGCAACATCGAACGCCCATGACGTGGAAATCGGTGGTTCCAATCCCTCGGGTCTCTCATCCCCCAAATTGTCCATCGTCAGGCGCCTGGTGGCCCCACCGCTCTCAGGGGCGTGAGCCTCCGTGGGATCCGTCCACGTGGCTGCATGTTTCCGTGGTTCGCTCCCTTTTATCGCTGAGTCATCCTCCATGGCGTGGATGTGCCCTAATTTGTACCCGCTTGGTGGTCTCCACTCTTTGGCTATTTTCTACTATGACATCTTTATACGCATTTTAGTTTGAACAGGGGTTTTCAACTGCTAGGTTTATACTTAGGAGTAGAATGGCTGGGTTATCTGGCGGTTCTGTGCCGAACTTCCCGAGAGGTCACCGAACTGTGCTCCACATTTTACTTCCACCCCACGCTCCGCTCCTCCCCCCACGCGTGAGACGTCACGTTCATTCAGCCTCACTATCTGCTGTGTTGCTTCTGCAGAGGTGATACCAACAGTGTTTGCCGACGGACGACATGGCAGGTGGTTTTCCATGGTGGCTTCCCTTCAGGGCCTAGCTGGTTTGGCTCAGTGGATAGAGCGTCGGCCTGTGGACTGAAGGGTCCCAGGTTCGATTCCGGTCAAGGGCACATGCCTTGGGTTGCGAGCTCGATCCCCAGTAGGAGGCGTGCGGGAGGCAGTCAATCAGTGATTCCCTCTCATCATTGATGTTTCTGTCTCTCTCCCTCCCTTCCTCTTTGAACTCAATACAATATATTTAAAAGAAGGCAAAAGTCAGAGACCAGGAAGGGTGGAACCCAGTGTTGCTGGGTCAGCTCTGAGTCTGACAAGGACCAGGGCAAGGCCTCTCGGAGCGTGAGGAGCAGTTGTTACCGCTGAGTGAGAACCGAGCGAGAGAGGGCGTGTTCAGAAACTTGCACAGCCGATGGGAATCGTAATGGTATGTATGCTTAATCTATAATTAAAAATACACCTTAGGTTTTATACACCTTTTCCATTTGTTTATGTTTAAAAAGGTGTGTTTTCACGTTTACACCAAGGAATGCTATGCAGCAGTAAAAACGAAGGATCCCTTACCCTTTGAGACAGCATGGAGGCACCTGGAGAGGGTTATGCTAAGCGACATAAGCCAGTCAGAGAAAGACAGGTATTGCATGGTCTCACTCATGTGTGGAATCTAATCAACAAAATAAACTGTTGAACAAAATAGATCCAAAGACATGGAAGCATGGAACTGACTGTCGAATCTCAGAGGGAAGGCGGGGGTGGAGGGTGGGTGGTGGGAAGAGATCAACCGATGAATGCGTATGCATAGATGCATCACCCACGGACACGGACAATAGGGTGGTGAAGGCCTGGGGCGGGGGTGGGTAGAAGGGGTCATTGGGGGAAGAAAGGAGACATGTGTAATGCTTTCAACAATAAAGACTTAAAAATAAATAAAAAAGTAATAACGTAAGTTTAAAAAAATGTTTTTATTGATTTGAGAGAGAGAGGAAGGGAGAGAGGCAAACATCGATTGGCTGCCTCCTGCACACTCCCTACGGGGGATGGAGCCTGCAACCCAGGCCTGAGCCGGAACTGGGAACCGAGCCGGTGCCCTTTGGTGCCTGGACGACGCCCAACCCACTGAGCCACGCCGGCAGGGCCCGTTTATTTTTCTCATAATGCATTTTTGTTGTTTGACGGAAGAATTGGTCTAAGATGGGTCGGACATTTTAAGGAAATGGTCCGTCCCCACAGACAGCCCGAGAGGCAATGGTGCCCAGCGAGACCGCAGGAGTGGAGGCTGAGGTAGGACGCAAGTCAAGCTCGCTGGAGGTCAGAGGCAGGGCCGCCAGCAGGGTCCGCCCCAAGATGGTGTCATGCCTAGCCAGGGGGAGACGGCAGTGGCAGCCCTGTCTGTGTGCAGCGCCCCGAGAATCTGGTCCTCAGGAGGGAGGGGAGGCGGAGCCCGATACCTGCCACTGCCCAGAGGAGAGGCCTGTGAGCCTGGGGCCCGCGGCACCGGCACCGAACCAGCGGGTCGAGCTGCTCCCAGGAGGGCCGGCCACGCGCCTGCCTTCCGTCTGGGGGCTGGCGGAACAGAAAGCTGGTGCGTGCGAGCCGGGAGCCCCAGCTCACGATGACGTGGCCGCGGGACAACAGGGACAACACTCACAGGAGGTGCCCGGTCTTCAGGGTTACAGAGCCCAGCCCCTCCCGGGCAAGTTCAGGCGGCCAGATGGTGCTGGGTCTGGGCGGGGCCTGGTTCTTCGTGGAGGGCCTGCTCGGGCGCCCCGTCCGCTGCCCGTGTTTCCCGGGGGCGAGAGGAGGGGCTGGGCCTGACTGTGGCCCCCGAGGAGGCCTGGGAGACACACCGGCCCGGCCAGACGTTTATTGGGGCCGCAGAGCCACCTACACGGAGAGAATCTCCACGCGGAACTCCAGGTCTTTGGCACCCCCCGGGCGCCGCGCCTGCGGAGGCTGCAGAGCCCGCGGGTCCTGGGGATCCTGCGGAGCCTCC